AAACAAAGGTACATCGCAACACATTAAAAAACAGTAGCTCATTGAATTTGATTTTAATTTTCCAGTTTTAATAAGTATTAAGGATTGCCACTGGGCCTATACTTAAATAAATTACAGTCATTATTTAGATGTGTATAAACATCTATCTGCGGATCGACGATTCGAAAAAGTAACCAAGTGTAAAAGTTAAGTACTGCGCATGACTGGACTACACAGGCAAAGCTCCCCGGTGTGTTATTCATTTGCATCTACTAGGCCAAATAATATAGGCTAGGCCTACGTGTTTGCAAAACTGGATAACTTAAAAAAAACCGAAAAAAACGATTTAAAATATATGGCTGGCATGGCTCGCTGGCTCGCATGACTCGCACATTGGCTCGCATGACTCGCTGGCTCGCACTTTGGCACTACTCAGTTGCTTTTATGTGTATTAAACCACACATTCAAATCAGTCAGTAGCGATGAGTGTATTTACAGCATATTTCGTGTTGCCGCACTGTGCTGTGGTTGATGACGAGGATGTTGCCGTTAGATACATGATAGCAAGGTCCCATTGCCGTTAGATACATGATAGCAAGGTCCCACATGGAATGTTTGTTCTATTGAGACGGTAGCTTTTCAGCATTTCTCTAGGATGATTTTCTTTTATATTTATGAATTTTTTAGCTTTTCGTACTCAACACTTAGCTATCCATAGCCAACCACAACCATGGGATGGCAACTATCATCGTTATCTAGACTTGTAGACGCATTTGTCCATGGTAATGATGAAGATCGTTATTGACTGATGAGGCATGATTAAAAGTGCCTTTCATTTTCAATGGATTGCATTCCATTCCAACAATGGTATAACCAGTCAATGGATAGCCCATTGTGTCATTCACTTGTTTTTAAAAATACGTAAACATACCCGCGACAACTCCCGTAGCTTATCCAGGTATCCATTGTCTTCAATTTTGTGTCGCAGTTGCGATAGCATGACGGCTTTAAACAGTCTTTAAAATACTGAGCCTCGCGTGAACCTAAGGCGGTTCGCAAAACAACCACTTTCTAGACTGCAGCTTTTCCACGCACTCGATCTTGTGGGCAGAACAAAAATTTCTCTGGAATACAGCTTTTTTGGCGTTTTCGTTGGTGTTTTCTTTCCCTCCATTAACAATACCATGATATTCCACACACCTGCACGTAGCCATGTCCCAACTTCCTGACTTCTCTCTACATTTGATTGGTTGACCTTCCGTCATAACATTCACCCTATTGTCAAATCCTAAAAATAACGTCATGCTTGTCACGGCCAGCTGTCTGCAATCAATTTGACTCACTCTTTTACAAGTCTCTAATTCTCATCAAAAAAGTTTCTCAACATAAACTGACGCTGGTGGCGCTTTCCGAAATGCACTAATACTATGAAAAATTAATAAATTAGAGACTTGTGACAAGTCTAAGAAGTCTTATATGAAAGAGAATTGTCTCAGCTATACATCTCAAAGTTGGAAGACGATTGATCAAGGATAAGCGTGATACGCTCAAATGCGTATGTTCAAAAATGACGTCATAGCTAAAATTCACTTTCTTTGAATTCAGATGGCAATATCATGATGTCACAATGTCCGATATGATCTATAAAATCATATTTACAACTTATGTGCTTTCAGAATATGTAATAAAATGGGGGGTCACCTTTCATCCTAAGGAGCTATAACTGTTTAAAAATAGGCGATTGTAGCATAATTTCACTGTATATTGGCACAAACGCGTGCAAAGATCACTATGTTTGATGCGTAAGTACGGCATTGCTATTGACCATAAGATGACTAAAAAGAATTAAAAATTGTGAAAACAATGTCAGGAATTCAAACTATGTGAAAAAACCTAATGTCTAGCTTCCGTACGCGCGCATAGTGGAAAATTTAAAAAAAAATTGAAATGCTCAAAATGGCCTGAAACGTGCTGTAATTTAGTCAAAAAGTGATTCTGAGGATTTTGAAGCACGCGTATGCGCGCGTTATAACGTGTACGCGTAAAATTAGGGTACATTACATTTAACATTGGCTTGAAGTTAATGCTCACTTAATACGATTTCGAAATGGCAATTAGGCTGATAGGATTGATAATATAAAAACGCAAATTTGCGCGTAGATGATGTCACGCATGACAGCGCACTTTGAAAACCTTATTGTGACTATTCCAGGCCAAGCTAAATGTTTGTTGAAGCGTGCATGTATGAATCTCATACCAATTTTGAGATATTGTGCTAACAAGATATGGGGAGAAACGTAGAATAAAAAAAAAAGATGATGATAATCTATGACAATAACAAGAGGTGATCCTCTCTTGAAACGGATCACCAAATAAAGAAACATGAATGGGTTTATTTTAGAGATAAATCTAACAAATATAAATTTTATTAAGAAATTATGCATGCATTGTTATTTTCTCTTAGTTTTCATCTTCTACCTCGCACACCTGATAATGCTGGCACAAGCTGCAAACCAGCAAAAGCTCGTGCTTAATAAACTACACCTTGAAAGTACTGCTGCACTATTACCTGTTATTACTATATTTGCTTTCAGTTTGCAATGGGAACCAAGAAGAGTTGCTGTCCAACTTGATGGCGAAGCTGAAAACAACAAGTGAGCAAATAAAGACATGGTCAGATACGAGTCGCAAAATACGAACAGTCATGGTAAGATATGAAGGTTGGCTAAAGTTTAGTCATCTACTTTACCTCATCTGATTTTTTTTGCTTGAGTGCTAGTATGATAGTACATGCTTAAAAGTTCCTAGTATTAACATTCTATTTCATGTATATGCAGGTTAAAAAATGTAGTTTCTAAGCAAACATACAAAAATATTGGTGCTTAATGATACTGGGAAAAAGCTGAATTCGCATTGGATTCAAACCAAGACTGCATTCTAATGCATTAAATACGAGTGTTCTTATTCTAAAGTTACTGATCCGATTTTCGGATCGGTTCAGTAGGCCTTCTGAACCAAAAATTTAGATTTGGTGTTTATGCACGTTCAGACACCTGGGAGGATATTTAGCAGCCCTCAAATTAAGGGAAAAAAATATGTCGGCAAAAAAAAAATCAAAATTGCCGGTGCTATAACATTTACACCGGTTATAACGGCAGTTTTTAGTTTTAGACTACAGCCCTGAAATCAACCCATGCTGACCTATTTTAGCAGTGATGGATGTCTTCAAGTCACCTAATTAAGCTGATAAGCCTAGCCTACATACTGATGTTCAAATCACAACTAATTACTTATAAAATGTTGAACAATTTATTTTATGATGACAAATAAAATGAAACTACACACCGAGCAAACAGTTAATAGACAAAATAACGCAATAATCATCACTGTTTGTTACCACACCCTGTGAATGAACTATTGCGACGGTTACGACGCGTCGTACAGCTAGCTCAGTCCCAATAGCATTGCCATAGAGATTACCTATTAATTAAAACGACACACCGGATAGGCCTAAACGTTAATGTTAGATAAATTTAAAGTTACGCCTACGCCATAACCGCGAAACCCAAAGCAAGTTTCTCCGACGGCTGACATTTTTCAGTAGACGTTTAATTCGGATAGTGTAAATTACAAATGAAAGCTTCACTCATTCCTCAAAAACATGTTGCTAATTACGGAGAAAATTTGTAGAGAATGACATTTAAATTTTTTGACTGTAAAACAAAACCACAAGGGTTTCTTTTTTGTTTTAATAAATCTGTTTACTGTAATTAAAAATTAATTTGTTTACACTGAGTTCCTGTCTGCAAGCTGTCACGCACTACGAAACTTTGGGCAATCTGACGTCATCACCGCCAAGCACATTTTGCCCATCCATCATGAACACACGAAAAAAATTAACCAATTAGCGGGCAGAGTTTAGGAGGCACGACCTAATGTTTACACGAAGATGTGTTGTTTAGAAAAAAATGTCAGACCGAAAATGCAGGTAAAAACAAAAAGCATGAAACATACAATCCAGTTTGATTTTATTCACATTTTACTCTAATACAACATAAAAGTCATTAAATAGCTTGATATCGGTCAAGGAATTTTGAAATCGCTGTTGCACCGTGACATGCTCCCTCCTTGCCGTAAGCGAAAATTAACCTTATGATCCAGTGGTGGAATTCTTGTCATACCTAAATGTAAGACGGAATGATATAAACGGTCTGCCATACCATTGAATGTCAAATTAATCAATGCACAATAATCATACCAGATGCAGCTTCTAGGTTGTATTATTATTATTTTTATTATTACTATCATTATTATACAGTATATAATTGCAATGCAACAACACTTTAATTATAAATATGGTTATAAAGCATTTAAAATATATTGTAAAAGTAATGAAGATAACAACTCAGTAAAATAAGTGTATAGTTAACAGCCCACGAATTTCACGTCGGCAATCGGCAATTGCCGATCATATTGCCGAGCCAGAATTGCTACAGGACGGCAATTTTTTGCCGACCTAGGCCTAGATTTCTTTGCTTCAAAAAATGCTCGGAAAGTCAAAAATTTTTTACTGAAACAGGTCATAGCAGACACTAAATTTCATGTACGTCGTCAAACCAAGGAAATTGGTGGTTCATAAAACAGATTTGTTTGTACAATAACTATTTCTAATAGGCATGCAGTACTTAGATTTGTGTACAATCGTCTTGTCTTTCAATCTCGCCTAGTCGTTTCTTAGGCTGGGCCTAGGTAGGAATGAGGCTAGCCAGCCAAGGCCTACAACATAGCCCAATTGAAGCCACGTGGGCCGCGTAGATCGTAATGCTTATCTAAATCTATTATTTGTCTTCATTTTACAATATTTTTATCATATTTAAAATGTTTTTTATCTAAAACAACAAAATTCAACATATTGTAGGCCTAATCCTACCGTCCGTTTAAACGCAATCACGATCGCATCATGACTTCACTACTGACAAGTACAGTACTGTACATGTGTCGAAAATCCCTAATAGATCATTCTGGGCTTGCGCATGGACATGCATGGGCAGTTTTGAAGCAGCCTGTGATGCTGTGATGATACGATCGTAGCTTTTACAAAAGTTCCCATGCGAAAGATAATGTTAAAACGAACGCTAAAACGAAATTTATTTGGCGATTTTCTTGAGCGTTCGAAAAATTTATAGTTTATACAATATAGGCCTAGATATTAAAAAACTGCCGAGGCTACCGACCTCAGAGAATTTTAGGTCGGCAAATTTTTGCCGATCAAATTTTTTCCTAATTTCATGGGCTGAGTTAATAAATTAATAGTTGTAATATATTTCAATAATAATTGTAATAATGAATAATGATATTGAACTAATTAATAATTAAATAGATTATCTTTTTTTTTAAAGTGGTTGTATGTGGGCAATTTCATAGTGCAGAGTGATTTTTTGTAATTTTTCATACTTATCAAATCCCATCAAGTTTGGTATCAAACTAAAGCACATTTTATATAGAATTAAGATCTAAAATCAATATTTTGGTATTTCAATGGTAAAATTTGAAAAAAAATGATTCAAATACATAGTACTTTTAAATTTTAAAATATAGTAAAAAATAGCTTACTTAAATGCAATTATTATGCAGAATGTATATGTTGGAAAATTCTAAATTCAGGTTATTTTACTAAAGAATAGGTACTATTATCATTTTTAAAGGTGAAAATTATAATTTTTAAATAATAAATTATTTTTTTTGTTTTTTAAAAAATTTGGTTAATTTATGTGATTCCGCTACCAAAAAAGTGATTTTTTTTAAATTTCTCCAAAAGTATTGATTTTTCAAAAATGAAAGTACAGGTGATAATAGACTACTGATAGATGTATCAGAAACTAATAGGCTTTAAATAAATTTTTTTTTATATTTTTTGAAATAAATGTTTAAAAACGTGATTCCGCTACCAAATGTAGTATCGGAATGACGTGTATTTCCGCTACCAAAATATGCTACCCACAAAGATAGCAACAAAATTCAACTTCTTTTCCAATTATCAAATGGATTAACAAATTTTAATGGTTAAATGATACAAATAAACAATAATTGAAGCTTGGATCAACTTTGTTGTTCAAATGCAAGTTTAGGTATGGGAAAAGGGCGAGGTGTACTTTTCTCAGAAACTTCCAATAAACTTTCTACTTTAGAGTTTGCTTCAAAGAGGTACTTGTTAATCAAATAAATTTACTTATAATAAACAACTTATTTAAATTTGTATGGTTGGTTTTTACTCCACCTACTAATTTTAAGTGCTTGCTATTGGCTCACAAACCAGTGACGAATGTATTCTTATGCATCTTAAAGAATACTGCATCACATGTTATTTTTTTATCATTGAGATCGCCATTAACTGCTGCAGAGAACCATGGAGGTATTATAGTGAACTGATGCTTTGTGAGGTTTTAATGCTTCCATGTACAAACAGATTGACCATTAACATCTGTAATTTTGTGAAAATTCACATGCTGCTTTTGTGTGTTGTTAATATCAAGCCCGTAGCCATGTGGGTTCGTTGGGTTTAAACGAACCCCTCTTTTTATGAAGTGCCCTTTCAACAAAGGCTGGCTAGCCTACACTTTAGGCCTAGCCTAGAGCCTATCATCATTAAAAGTCCTACTTTAATACCCGATTGTTAGCCCTACCTAGTAACATAAAAAATTCAGGCCCTGAAACCTTGACTCAGAAATACCGGGATGGTGTCCAGCGGGGATAGTTTCACCTGTGTATATATATATATATGATTATAATATGCTACAACCAACCATACAAATTTGTCTCGGTTCTTTTTGTTACTGATTGTCTAAGTGAGTATACTACTAAACTTCCAAAGTGCTATATAAATAAAAAATAAAGAATAAACCATACTGGATTCTTTAATATACCTCTCTAATATATACATTTTTTTAAATGTATGGCCTCTCAAATCAATTAAATAACACATGTAAATGCTTAGAATGCTGGACCCCCACCGGTGTTTTGGCCCTCGACCCCCCGGGGCCCTTGGCGGCCCCCTGGCCCCAGCAAATGGTGCTCGCAAGTGCCCTTTCAGTATCAAAAAGAACCCCCTTAGGGAGCGTCGCCAAATTATCCTACCGCGGTAAGCCTTAATCTACCGCACCGCGGTAGACACAAGGCTGTATATGCAGAAAATTTGCATATCACATTGCATACAAGTCTACCGCGGTAGATAGACACTGCCTTAGGGCCAACTGTGGAGTGTAACCTTAGAACCAAGGACATCAACCTATCAGCCTAGTTCTTTAGTAAACAGATTGTGATTAAATAATTACTGAAGTGTGCTCATGACATGATATCGACATATCAAAAGTTAACCTCTTGTTTACGACAACACACGCCTGCGATTTCCTTGTGCATGAACACAACGAAAAACGCTTGCGGAGCCTTGGAGAAGTGGCGATGTATTTGTACCCTACAATTTATTGGCTATCTAAAACTATATTCCGGTGAAGAAATAAGACTTTTCTCGAACACCAAAGAGAAGGGATCATTTCGGTCGCGCCTTCTTTTTGGTCGCGCCGTATTGTTCTGCATTTCGATCGCGATAAACTGCCTCTAAGTAATGCCGATATACGCACTAGTGCTTTATGTTTGGAAAGTAATTTTTAAAGTTTGTTTGGTGCGCGTGTTTCGGACTGGGTATTAATT